CCCCTCTCCAGCATACCGTCGCCATCCCTCATTTGACTTAAAATAAAATGAGTGGTTAATAATTTTAAGCACAGACCTGCACCTCTTGCAATTTACACCAGAACAAATGACTAATCTTAGTGTCATCAAGAAAAGGACCCTCCCACAATATGCAGCCACCTGCAGTTTCTGGATCTTGGGCTCCCCAGCCCATCCAAACCTACTGAGAACATATAACTCACATGTTCCAGAGTCCTGGGGCATTACAGTTGGGGTGAGACCTGCCCATTGACAGAACATTAACCTCTTTCTATTCTGGGAGGCTGCTTCACTGGGCTCTACTGTTCCCTGAGTAAAGTGTGAGAGCAGCTGCCAGCATGAAATACAGGAGAGGAACTCTGCAGACACACTGACCTCTTGCCTTGCTTTGGGTGATGCCCATCCTGGAGGAAACTATTCTAATGACTAGCCCTCCAGCCAATGACAATCAAACTTCTCTGTGCAAGTGGTAGAGTGGCTTCTAGTCCATGTGGGGGGGGGGCGGGGGGGGAGTTCCCTGGCTGCATGGGGCCTCTAATATACATAGGTGTAGCATGCCTTCCAAATTGACATATAACTCCTCACAAGTAGAGCTGTGTGAATCTTTTATCCAAAGAAACCTTTTCTTGGGGAGGGACAAAAAAGAAGATTCAGCAACACCAAAACATTTTGTGAATTTGTGTTGATTTTTGCTGAATGATTTCAGTCAAAGCACTTTAAAATTCAGAAAAAAATCAAACCCTTTCATTTCAAGACACTTGCAAAAGTTTCACTTTTTTTTTTTTTAATGCTGAGTGGCTTTTTGTTCAGAAATTTCCTTTACTTTTATTTGAAAATACTTAAAGTAAAAATGCTCAAAATTAAAATGCAACATTTTGTTTGACCCTGAACAAATATTTTTGACTCTTTGATTCACTAAATATTTTTTTAAATTGTTTTCAGTTTGAGCTGAAATTTTGCTTTTTTGGGGGGCAATTGCCGGCAAACAGAAAAATTTGTTATTCACCCAGCTTCCTTATGTGTGTTAAGGAGAATTCTGCAGTGCCCTATAAATCCTGTTGTGGGGATGTGATCACTTTTCTCACAGCCCTGAGACCGGTGGACCTTTTCTGGTCTGTCCTGAGCCTGAGATTATCCCCAGTGTTATGTAGACCCGTTGCAATACCAACTAGCCATAAACTGCTGTCAGGGGAATCTCTGTCTCTGGCATCCATCTGTAAATAAATGCGTGGTCAACTTAGAAGGGGAAGGTGATGTAGGGCAGTTTTCTGGGGGCGAGGCAGTATCGGCAGCAGTTTGTAGGTGCTATCTGTACACAGCAGTGTGCCCTTTTGGATATTTCATGGTGGGCACCCCCATCTCCCCTGCAACTTTTGGGCTAGAAACTAAAACTTCAGTGATGGTTACAGCCTCTTGTAGTTTTTTTACTTTGTTTTTAAAATTAGGTACATTTCAGATACATTTTTTTTTTAAATACACCTCTACCTTGATATAAAGCTGTCCTCGGGAGCCAAAAAATCTTACCACATTATAGGTGAAACCGCGTTATATTGAACTTGCTTTGATCCATCGGAGTGCACAGCCCGCCCCCCTGGAGCACTGCTTTACTGCGTTATATCTGAATTCGTGCTATATCGGGTCGTGTTCTATTGAGGTAGCAGTGTAAATTAGGCTGCAGTAACCCAGGAAGACTTATCTCCAGACCACCTCCCACTAAGTCTCAGACACATCAACAGCAATGTGCTCCTGTGGGTGCTTCAGTGCTATTTTTCTTTGGAGGGGGCGAAATGTTTTTACACTTGTATCATATTTTTTGACACCAATTTTTTACCTCTTGAGACAGTTTCTTATCATATGTGTGTGGATGTAAATCTGGAGTAACTCCAGTGGAGAATGTAAAGTGGGGCCCTGTTACAATGTTTCCTGATTAAAATATAATCTTAGCTTGGTTAATGTTTTCATAACCCAAAATATACAAAGCCAAGTCATAAGTAAAACTTAGGGTGAGAGCTTGATCCCTCTATAACAGGAATTTTGCCATTGATTTCAATAGGGGCAGATTTAATCTGTAGTACCTCTTTCCAATATATCTAGTACAACCTGTTGATATTTGTACCAATCACTGGTTAGCGTCTCCCATTTCACCCTGAAGCCAATGAGCTGTTACTGTACTGTTAGAAGACACAATATTCTAGGATAGTGGCAATTGCCAGTTAAGTTTTCATTCATGACCTATTTTAACATTGGGATCCTTTATCGGTGAGGTTAACTGCTTTGCAGTCCACTTCTCCATTGCCCCTTCTGTTGTCTCAGCAGCTGACTCAAGAACACTTATACAGCTGCAACACCCAGGGCGCTGCAGAGGTGCTATTCGTTTCTTGTTCTCTTCTTCAGAGTAATATTTCCAACTAGCCCTTCAACAGGAGCAGCAAGAGAAAGCATCTTCATATGCCTATAATTTCTGCAGTGTTCTCATTCTGTGAGCACTTGCATCTGTGTTTAATATGAAAATTTCTCAGGCAAGAGTAAGGCAACACTGAAACAGTCCTAGTGCCTGTTTTAATTCTGCAAATGCCAAAGTACACTGTGGTGATACTCCAGGCATTTCTCTTACTCAGTGTATGCAATAGCTTTTCCTCTATTGGCAACCCAGAAAATGAACCTGGGGTAATAGGAACAGCAGAGTCCTAAAAAGTTGTGTAGAGCTAAAAAGCCAGCCAGTTCTGCACTCCTTCACTTTATCAGTGGAAATTCCTTCCTCGCTGATCAAATGACCAAGGGAAAATTATCTCTTTTTAAAACAGCTCACATTTCTTTGGATTCAGTTTCAAATCGTCATTCTTAACCTTATCGCAGACCATTTATAAATGCACCAGTTCCGGACCAAAAGATTTAGTATGTACCAGATTTGTTATCCATGTATGACAAACAGTCTGAAAGAGGTGCATGCCACAGAGTACATTCTCCATGAGCCGCTTAAAGGTTCCAAGAGCACTGCATAATCTAAAGGACATTACTTGAAATTGCCAGAGCCTTTATCCTGCTGTAAAAGCTGCCGCCTTCCTGGTTTTTTGGATCCATTTCCACCTTTGCAGAGCCAATTAAGATCAACATGGAAACTGAACTTACCCTATTACAGCACTAAATACATCTGTTTCTGACAAAGGACAGAAATCCTCTGTGACTGTAACAGAGTAGCTGGCCCTTTAAATAAAATTGGGCTCAGCACTCCTTTTCCAGTCCAGGTGTGCCCTAGTTTGGTGTAATGAGCAGGGTTGGGAGTTCAGAAAGGGCAGTTCAGAACTCCAGAGTCGTCAAAGAGAACTTATAGGGAGAGCTTGGAAAGGGCAAGCCAACCAGCACTGATAATAAAGAGAGCTCAGAGGAAGAGCAGAGCTGAACTGAAAGCTTCAGGGAGGGGTCCCACTGAAGGATGGGGTGGTGAGAAGTCCCGGGTTGAGCAGTGGAGCCACAACAAGCTGGTGAAAGCAGAAGCTAGGAAGGCAGTCAGTCACCTACAAACTTCTCCAGGCTGAAGAGCTAAGCATGGCCAGAGATAATTGGAGAGGTCTGAAGGCTCAAAGCAGCAGAGGGAGATACCTGCTGGCTCTCTGAGGGCCAGAGAAGGCTGAAGGCTGGGGAATGGATAGGGCTGAGCCCTCTGATGTCTCCAGGCAATAACTAGAACCATACGTGGGAAGGAAATAAGGCAGAGAAACACTTTAGGTAGAGGAGCTGGCTTTGGCACGGTGAGAGATGCTAGAGCCGTACCTGGGAGCTGAGCTGGAGCCCGGTGAGAGACGCTGGAGCCATACTTGGGATTGGACGGTTGGGGATGAATGTACTGTTTGGACTGTTCTGAGGCTGGGGGATTTGGGGTAATAAGCTAAAATCACAAAAAAGGGGTATTTATATACTCTGAAGGGTGCAGTGAGTTTATCTGAGGAATCGAGAAGGAAACTGAGGCAAGGGACCACTTGCTGGGCTGCCATGAGCGGGAGCTCCCAGTGACCATTTAATTTTCTATCATCCACACAGAATCTGGCATCAATAATCCCTTTTCCCAACCAGAAATTAAGGCTGATGCTAGAGGTTCAATTATCTCTTCCTGACATTTCATTACTCATCTGTAAAACTCTTCTCTGTCAGAAAGTGAGAGTCCGTGAGGTACTTGCTTGAAAAACATGCTTCTCCTAGTGTCTGTCTTGGTGTATTTACTAATGCAATAAAACTCTTTATCTTGGTTGATTGAGGGAATAAATTCAACCAGAAACACTTGTCAAACGCTGCTGCTTGTAACAGTGTCCACTAGTGCACTGGATCAAATCTAGTTAGACCTTTAGAAACTCCTCTTCTCCCCTCTCTTCCTACTAGATGAGCTGCCTCACATTTTCTCATTGTTGTTTTATTAACGAACACAAAAAAATCTGTATTTTTCAAACCGACTTCACAAACCAACTAGAATGCTTGTCTTGAAGCTAATAGAGCTGAACCATCTTGTAAAACTAATTCTCTTCTCTTTTTGATAGGTGCGAATGTAACCCATTGCTCCGTATATGAAATGGGTATCGCTCTATGACTGATCCACAGAGGATATGGATCTATTACAATTCTCAGCTTGGGAGGTGGTTCCTTTTAACTCATGCTTTTTACGGTAGAGGTCTCTGGTTCAGTGCCAGATGAGACCTCACTTATGTGATAGCTGACACACAAGGGATTGAACTGAGTACCTCCAAAGCTAAAAGAACAAGGTGGAGCTAAAATGCTCGGCTCTTAAGGTGAGAGCTGTAACAGATCTCTATCTCTTTTGGCTCAGGTACAGAGGGGAATACACAGTACGTATTGGCCAGATAGGATCAAAAACATTTGGCTAAAAATAGGCAGTGTGACTTTGAGGGGGGAAAACAGCCTGTGCCAGTGAGTATTACTATGTATTGGAGGGTGCTAACATTAAATCAGCCCACAGGAGAAGAGCCACCGTATTTATTTGCTTTATTCACCATATTTATTTGCTTTATTCAATCATAAAAATCTTTAAAGGGACAAACAAAAGATGATGGGGTCTAAGACGCATGTGATATGTACTTGTCCAGACAAGGGCTCATTATAAATATAGAATCATAGAATATTAGGGTTGGAAGAGATCTCAGGAGGTCATCTAGTCCAACCCCCTGCTCCAAGCAGGATCAACAGCAACTAAATCATCCCAGCCAGGGCTTTGTCAAGCCTGACCTTAAAAACCTCTAAGGATGGAGATTCCACCACAATATGAAATAGTTCTTCATATTGAGGGGGGGAGGAAGTGAAAGATTTTGTTCAGGGTCTGTGCATGTTTTGGTTCTGTACAATTGCCTCACTTTCATTGCTGGGCAAAGGCGAGAGCACTGAAGAAGTCACTTGGCTCTTTGCCATGTTCCCATCACAATTGGAAGTATATGACAGCAGTGGGTTGTAACCATTGCAGGTTAAAATCCTTAAATGTTTATTTGCGGAATGCTGGCTGACACTTTCCTTTCACATAGCAATTGACTAGCGATCACTAGAATTCTCTGACCTCAATGGAAGCTACCTGCACATCCTAGGGTGAATTTGGCCTGAAACATGTGTAAGGGGTCAATAGAACATGAGGAAGCATCAGTTCTGATTCTCAAATCTCTGAAAGTGAAGAAACTGCTTATTCTTTCACAGCTGGATCCAGATTCACAGTTGTTCTGCATCCCCTTTTTGCACCAGCTAAGGTGGAACAAATGGGTTGGAGGGGTGGCATAAGGCAGGAGTAGCTGCACAGGAGCCCCCTGTTCCTAGGATATTTCTCTATCCCTGGTGCACAGCCAGATCTGTGCCATCTCTTCAGCAGCCTCACTCACCCTCCCGCCTGCTGGGGGACATTCCAGGGTGAAAGGAGGTGTGCTTTTACTCTCCATTGATTCTGCACTCCTGCAGTGGCCCATTGAAATAGTGGATAAGTTTGGCCAACTCTGTTCTACTCAGTAGCCTGCACTGGGAGACAAACTGGCCCCCAGTTGTTCCTGGATAGAGGAGGCACAATCTGTTTTTCCCCGTGTTCCTGGGCCAGCCCTAGGTCCAGCACAGGGATGAATTTGCCCCTCCTAGGGCTGGAGGTGATTGCCATATCTGAAATTCTTAAGAAGCAGTGGTTGATGTTTTTCAAAAAGGCAGTGGTGGCCAGTCTTTTACTTCCTAGTTAAGAGTGAGCGTTTCCTAGTTTTTGTTGGTTTTTGTTTTTGCTCTTCTTATGGAAAGAGAGGTAACAGGTACCCATTTCCTTGTCTAAAACATACAGTGACTTCTATCCTAGGCGCTGGTTACTTTGACAGGATTTAGAGAGAAAAACAAAATATAAAAATTACAGAATCCCAAATAATAAACTTAAACAGTAGGTTGGTAATATTGATCCCTTGAATACCAATAGTTACACTTTTAAAGAATCAATCGGGAAACAAAATTAACTGACATTTCTTTAGTACTAAGAACACAAAGCTAAATCCCACATGCTGGCTTTTACAAGTATAAATATATAAAATGATTTTAAAACAAGTTCAAATTACTACTTAATTCCCTTGGAATAGACCACCTGTAAAATACAGTTGGAAGGGTATCCCTGAGTGTTTTAAATACTCTTAAATGGGTTTCTTTCTACATAAACAAAGGGGTACATTTTTCAAAGCAGTAGGTGGGAAGTACAAACAGGAGCCCAACCCTGCAATTTTTTTTATAACTTGAGTAACTTTACTCTTACAGGTAGTCTTATTTATCTTACATGAGTAAAGTTATTCAAGTGCATAAGTGTTTGTAGGATTCAGAGACAGCATTTGTAAATGGATTCCCAAATGTTCATGTAAGAAACAGTAAGTGCATAAAATTAAGACAATATATTTTTAATTCTTTGCAACTTTGAAGTAAAACATTAAGTTGTTAGCCATGCTTCTATCTCTCCCTTGTTTTGTTTTAGCCATTCAATATTATTCTTTACTGTTTCGAGAGCCTGTTTTCTGGGTGCTTGTCCTGCTCCAGCATTAGGGTATTTTTCAAAGAAATTTTCCATCTTGAAAAGAGAAAATGAAAATGAATTCACAGGCAGCAAGTACTTCTGTTGTATTTAACATCAAATAATTTTTATAAGGCCCAATTCTATGTTCTTGAAATCTGGGAAAGTTTTACTTGAGAAAGGACTTCAGGATTGGACTGGTAGTACTTGAATAATTATTTTATAGCATTCAAAATTATGTGAGGCATCTTAGAGAATAAAAGGGCAAGTTTCCTGCCGAGGAAGATCTTATAACTTAGTAGTTTAAAATGACTATAGGCATCATCTCCATACCTCCCAAAGCTGAAGGTCAGTGTTGAATGTTTGGGTTATTGATACTATTCGACCAAGATTTCTATCATTGATTGTGTATCTGAAAAAAATAAATAGTATTTGATATAAAAATAATATTGCTTTTTTTGGAGTGTTTGTTCCTTTATTGTTAAACGCTTTTAGCATCGTGAAATAGATGTTGCCCCCAAATTCCAGATGTTACAGAAATATTTGAAAAAGCATATTATATTATTTTTGTACTATTCTGTAGTTTAGCTATACCTGGCGAGATCTCTGATGTAAACATATTCAAAGAATGGTGTCTTCTGCCGGGAATCAAGCCAACCCTTGAGAGAAATTTCCATTACAACACCCTCACATGTCTGTGTCCCTTTGTGGAGCTAAAATTGTGTATGGCCAGAGGACCTCTGTAAATTGGCAGGCTTAATGTGATTCTATGCCCTCATGTGAGTTTCAATTAGATTCCCTTTCTAATGTCCTTCTCTGGTAGTAGAAGTGAAAGAGCATCTCAGGAATCAGTGTGAATAGACAGGAGCAAAGCTGGAAGCTGATTTCATTGTTACTACAAGAGGGAATAAGAAAATTACAAGACCCCTCATTGTAGATTGCTGTGAATAAAGAGAATATTCTGTATTAGGCCAGATTGGGGATTGACTGCTGCAGAGTCCATAGAAGAACACTCCCATAACTCTGTGGAACTTGCTACAGTTTTCTCTTGGCATTGGCTGCTAATGATCATTTAGGAATAGAAATATACCTTGTAGAATAAGTCTTAACTGCTTTATCTACATATTTTTATTCCTCAAATTCATATTACTATTCTTTACCACACAGATTTACAGTTCATAAAGCCCAAACCATAATACGGCACACCTCTAGGAAACTGTCCTGTATTTTCTCTCTCCTTTTCCTAGAAAAATACTTGGCTTTTTATGAGTAAATATTAAAGCAAAAAGCTTCTTGACTGATTCTTCTGGTGCTGTCACAACTTAGTGTGGGAGAGATCACAATTCACTAATGGTGACAATCAATATGCCTGCAGAAAACCAGAATGGGCAGTGTCTATATGGGTGAAATGACTGGAAATTCTTTTTTTTTTTTGGGGGGGGGGGGGAGGGAGGGACAGGGGAAGATGCAAAATCTACCTAGGGCACTGGGCAACAATGCATTTTCTCTGTAGCTGTTGTTCAAGCCTATTGGTTGTCCCAGCAGGTGCAGCCCTTTCACACTACTTGCATGGGTGTTAGTCACCGAATCCATGGAATTATTGCTAGCCTCTGCAAAGTTTCTGATGAGCTGGTGTGATGACTCCCTCTGAAGTTTGTTTAGTTATTCCACTGGTAGCTTAAGTGGTGTGGAGGGCCTTATACAGCCTTTAGTCTGCAAGGAGCTTAGTGTTGTGAAAGCTGTGGCAGATTAGGGTGCTCAGTATCTCACAGATCAAATGTTAATGGCTGGAGTCTCAGAAAAGCTGGTCTCCCATAAACCAATGGGATTATTCACATGCTTAAAGTCAGGCAGGTTTTTAAGTAACTTGCTGAACTAGGGCCTTAAATGTGCTTCCTATGTTATGCAGTGTTTCAAAGATCTGATAGCTAGTTACTTTGTCCAAAAGAAAGGCAGGTACCTAGCACAATGTAGTTTTGATTGTTACTTAGCTCTCAGCAAGTTTTGATTCAGACTGGAACTATTGTGTAGTATTTTCAAGTTGGCAGAAACTTTTTTTTTCCTCACCACAGGCTGCAATAATATTTAAAACATTTTCAGCTCTCTGTCCAAAGGAGTTGCTTCTTAGAGCCATTTGCTTCCACAGAAATGGGTAAACCCAAAGATATTTGCAAGTTTTGCTTCACATTAAGAGAAATGGATTGATGTGTTCCTGTACCTAATGGTGACTGTGTGGAGAGACTAAAGTAAGGTGAGATAAGAAAATAAAGAGCAGGCGACTTAGAATTAAGTGTAAAACATTCAAAGGATGTTAACATACCTGCTGACTAAGTATTCCCAGTTGAGCCGTATCCAGTCCCAAGCCATGGTTTTGCCATAGCTGTTATAGGAGATGTATCTCAGGACAGTGAACACATCCTGACTTTTAATAAGACTGGTGTTGTAAATATATTTTAGATACCTAGGAGAAACCAGATGGGGAAACAATTAAACAGACTTTTTAAAATCTTTCATTAAAGATTGTGAAAAGTGAGTTGTAAAGAAACGATTCAAGTTGCTGAGACCAACCTAAACCGTCTGTAGAAATATTTGTATTTTACTATGGAAAATCTAACACTAGAGACTTATTTTTCCTAGACCATTTTAAGGATGATATAGGCTGGTCTAAAATGTGATTACCTATTAAGGATAAGATTTTTTTTTTCCCAAAAGTGACCGGCATGTAGACATCGCTAGTGTTTACTTTTTTTTTTTTAAAGGTGCCTGGGCTCAAGCAATAACAATGGCATCTTCCACATATCATGACCTTGTTTGCACCATATGTGCAAAGTCGTGCCTGGCACACTACTGCCAGAAGAGATGCTGGAGCTGAGCCCCAACACAAAGTAAGCCCCGGGCATCTCACTGAAAAGTAACAGGGCTTACGGCCCAGATCCTCAAAGATATTGAGGCATCTAGTTCCCATTGATTTCCTAGTTCACTTGAAAATTTTACCCTAAATCTATCCGTTTTCTATCCCAGTGAGTGAGGTCAAAGTTCCTTCGTCTAATAGGATGAAATCTTGTGAACTATAGAAGGTCTATAATGCAGTAGGTCAGGGGTGTGACCAATAGGTCCATAAAATGGGTGGACTCACTGTCACATAGACACATTTAAGGACAATATTGGGAAGCTACTCCTAGCTACAATGTACAGTAGCAGCTGCAAAAAGGTTCCTCTTCAGCTACTGTAACTTGGGGCTGAGGGTTCTGTTCTTCCACTCCATAAACAAGTGGCTGAGTGCACAGCCAGCTTTCTCAGTGGTGTGTTCTTTTTTCCTTTATTTCACTAAAAAAGTTGATTCTGGGAAGGGCCAAATTCCACCTGTGAGTTACCTACAGTGCAGATTTTTTGTTGTGTTTTTGCTCTGCATATTTGGGTTTGTCTGAATAATCCATGTTTTAGTCATAGAAATGATGACTGTGTAGGGGTTAGTTATGAAATAACCTTAAATGATGTGCCCCTGTGAAGTTATACACAATGCTAACCTCAGTCACCACATAGCCATATTACTGTTACCTTCATCCCCTCTCTTCTAGTTCTTCCTATTGTTAATTCTGCTCATTTGTTTAATCTTGTCTTCAATTGTAAACTCTTTTTGGGGCTAGGACAATGGTGCCCAGATCCCAACTGGGACCTTGGTGGATACTGCCGTGGTGGTGGTGGTGGTAGTAATAGTAGTAATTAGGGTAGTTCTATGCTTGCAAGAGATGAAGAGCTATAAAACCCATCACTTGAGTGTATTCTTTCAAGCAAGGGAACAATGACTTTGCCTAGATATTGGCAGTATAATCTCAGGGAGGACTACTCAAGAGTGACAGCATTTGACAAGTATCAGGGGGTAGCCGTGTTAGTCTGTATCTACAAAAACAACAAGGAGTCTGGTGGCACCTTAAAGACTAACAGATTTATTTGGGCATAAGCTTTCGTGAGTGGGCGTAAGCTTTCGGCGAAGAAGTGAGGTTTTTACTCACGAAAGCTTATGCCCAAATAAATCTGTTAGTCTTTAAGGTGCCACCAGACTCCTTG